CCATAGCGACGCTCGGCTGAGTTGCGATGGCGGCAAAGACCGATAAAGTGGAGAACCCAAGCTNAAGTAATTTCGCTGCTTCGACGTCAACTGCTGTCAGCCCATAGCGACGCTCGGCTGAGGTGCGATGGCGGCAAAGACCGATAAAAAGGAGAACCCAAGCGGTCGTCCGCACCAGTCTGTTGAATGTGGAAAAGCGTGTGAAATCTATGAAATTATTACTTACGATGACCATGGCGTATTTAGGTCGGAGCTCCTCGTCGTGTACGTCATGATGAGTGGCGAAGATTGCATCATTAGGCCAGTACCCTTCTTCTCGGCATAGAAAAGTCGGTCCCTGACTCCAGCGGCCAGTTGGGGTGAAGTCAGCTTCACTGCTGAAACGCGTGGCTTCGTCGGCTACGTTCTCTGCAGTAGGTATCCACCTCCAGTTCGAGGCGTTTGTGGCGGCCAATATTTCAGCCACGCGGTGCTGCACAAACGGCTTGTACCGTCGGTGCTCACTGCGGATCCACTTCATCACCGTTGTCGAGTCGGTCCAAAGATGGCAGTCATTTATGACGACGGAGTGTTCTTCACGAATCGTCTGCATTAGGCGGGCCCCCAAGACGGCTGCTTGCAGTTCTAGCCGCGGTACCGTGAGCGGTTTCAGAGGAGCGCACTTAGTTTTCGCGCAGACGAAGCTGGCACTCACCTCGTTCTGGCAGTTGGTCGCTCTCCAGTAAGCGACGGCGGCAAAGGCGTCTTCGCTGGCGTCAACAAAGATGTGTNGGCGGGCCCCCAAGACGGCTGCTTGCAGTTCTAGCCGCGGTACCGTGAGCGGTTTCAGAGGAGCGCACTTAGTTTTCGCGCAGACGAAGCTGGCACTCACCTCGCTCTGGCAGTTGGTCGCTCTCCAGTAAGCGACGGCGGCAAAGGCGTCTTCGCTGGCGTCAACAAAGATGTGGAGCTGTAAATTTTGTAGCTTACCATTGCCGAAGTAGAATCTGGGAACGGCGTACTCGGTGACGGCTGGCAATTGACTACGCCATCGTTCCCACACAGTTACAGCGTTGTCGGGCAGTGGTTCATCCCAGCGCGTATTCTGTTTCCACACCTCTCTCATAAGCAATTTAGCGCCGATAACGAAGTGGCTTAGAAAACCTAGCGGGTCGAAAACCGACATGACCACGCTAAGGAGTTCCCGTTTGGTTGGGCGCTTAGTACCGGTCATTACCTCTGGGTCGACTTTGTTAAATTGCAAGTTAAATTTGAACTTGTCTGTTGACGGCTGCCAGTAAAGACCGAGTACCTTCTCAGTCACCAGGCCCTCTTTGCTTGAAATCGGTTTGGTAGATGCAGCGCCACCCAAAGCCGCAAGTACCTCTGGCGAATTGGAGGTGAAATTCCGGAGCTCAAATCCGGCGTCCAGGTGGATAGCTCGAACTTCTTGAGCGATGGAGATAGCTTCCTCAAAGGTGTCGAAGCTATCCACGAAGTCATCCACGTAGTGGTAGTCCAGAATTGCTTTTATTGCTCGGCTTGTGGAGTTATGGCGATGTTCAAGTGCGTTTCGCGTCTTGACGTAGTGCGCTGCGCATGGCGAGCAAACGGCACCAAACGTCATGACGCACATCTCGTACACGTTGGGTTGTCTTCGAGAGTCACCGTCGCGCCAGAGAAACCGCTGGGCGCATCTGTCTTCAGGCTGCATCACCAACTGGTGAAACATTTCCTTAATGTCACCCGATACGCCAACTGCTCCTTCGCGGAAATGAAAGAGAATCGATGGCAGAGGCCGGTACTCTTGAGGACCCTTTAGCAGCATAGAGTTCAAAGAAACTCCGTTGACCTCGGCCGCGGCGTCAAACACCATTCGAAGCTTCGATGGCTTGTTAGGGTTCACCACAGCGAAATGTGGTAAGTACCAGGTGCGAGACGTCACCATCGATGCTTCCGCTGGTTCAAGCTTACGCGCATAACGCTTTTCGATGTATGACTCCATCGTTGCCTTATATGCTGCTTCGAAGTTTGCGTCTCGATCCATGCGCTTCTCGACACCCACTAATCTCCTTAATGCCATGGAGTAGCTGTTAGGCAGATGGACGTCGTCTCGCTTCCAGATGAGACCGGTTTGAAACCTGCCCCCAACACGGCGTGTGACCGAACTCAAAATAGACCTTGCGCGAATGTCTGATGCGCTTTCGATTGGCGGTGACGGCCGCACCCCGAAACTTTCAACGGCGAAGTAGTTTTCAACCAGCTCATGCAGCGACTCATCCGTCACGTTATTGACTAGTAGGCACGAAGGCTTTGCTGACAGGCTTTTGCTGGTTGGCCCAAACACCACCCAGCCCAGTTCAGTGTTGGCGGCAAACGGACCATTTGCCCTCATCCTCAACGTAGTTGATGGCAAACCTAAGTGGCAGTGGTCGAGGCCGATTAGAAGTTTTGGCATCACCCCGGTGTATGGCTGAACCGGCAACTGACGCAAGTACTTTTCGTCGCTGTGCAAGTCAGCTCTGGATAAGCTTTGCGAGGGTAACTGTAGGTTCGACACCGCATATACGTTCCGAAGCTTGTGCTTTTTATCCATACCACGGCCATTTATAAATAAGTCCACCACAACTGAAGGCTCTTGGGCTGACCGTCCACCAACCCATTGTATGCTGAGGCGCTGTTGTTTCCCATGCAGACCCAGCTCTTGGGCGAGTGCCTCATCTAGCATCGTAACTGAGGAACCTTCGTCCAGCAGTGCATATGTATCGACGCGCTTGTTTCTTCCATGCAAAGTGACTGGAAGAATACGAAAGAGAAGTCTTCCTTCACATGCGTCAGCGGAGCAGCTGAGGACAGCGGCTTCTGCGTCGTTCGCAGGCTGGCGTTGGAGTACTCGTTGAGTTGACGAGTGGCTGCTATCGTGTTGTTGGCGTTGCGCTGACTGCGCTTCTGCGTCCCTTGCGTTACTTGGAGATGGTGCTGGCTGCGTGTTGTTGTTGGAGGCCTCGTGTAGCAGTTTATGGTGCATTCTGGGGCATCCATTGATAGCGCATTGTTTTCGTCGATGGCAATCTCGTGTAGCGTGACCAGCGTGAAGGCACGCGAAGCATAAGCGTCGTGATTTGGCCTCCCTCCATCGGTCTGCCACTGTTGCATCAATAAAGCATTTGCACTCAAACGCTTTGTGGGCGCCCTGGCATATTGGGCACCTTCGTATCTGTTGTTTTTTGTCGACGTGCAGGACTACTCGGCGCTTCGAATCACGTCCGGGCTCTTCATCATAAATGGTACAGATCACGTTGGCAAGTGAATTTAGCCATTCACTGAAGTGCATCACTGTAGCCCGAGGCTGTACTTTAGCAGCAACCATAGCCCACTCGACTCGCTTGCTTGTTGGTAGTTTGGAAGTTAGCTCATCGAGGAGTGTCGGATTAGAAAGCTGATGTTCACCATTGGCAGACTGAAGGAAAGCACAAATGTTCCTCACCTTCGTGGCAAACGGAATCAGTTTCCCGACTGCATTTTCGGATATAGGGCCGATCTCACGTACTTGGGCCAGCTGACTGCGTATAAGTTGCTCCGGCCGACCAAATCTGAATTGCAACTGTTCGATGATGCAGCTGATATTGCTGGGGTGAATCAGCAGAGATTTCACCACTTCACGCGCCTCGCCTTTTAAACACTTCCGTAGCCTCTGGTTATTTTCGAAGTTGCTGTAGCCGTAAGCTGCAGTTGACTCCACAAAGGCTGTGTGGAATATAGGCCAGTCTTCAGCCCTTCCACTGAAATCTGGTAAATCAATAATTTTTCTTGGCATGATCGAGCCGTTTGACATGAACTGCATATTCCCGTGACTTATGTTGGCAGAAACGGGTTGAAATGTCACATTGGATGAGTGGTGAGAGGTTTGTACACCGGCGGGAACGGTTGAAGCATCGTATTGGTTACCTGCTATCGATGAGGTGCTGCAAGT